CAGGCTTTAGGTTAGGTGCACAGAGATATCATGTTAGTTATTATCTCTGAAAATTACTATTTTTCACTTCAACAACTTAGAATTTTACATTTATTATGATTTGAATCCCCACGGGTCCACAAATCCTACTTCAAGTAATCTATCCTAGTGTGGTCAAAATATGATGGGACTCATGAAAATTCAATTTATATGCAAAAATATTCAGGGCCATTCTCACTGCATGTATGTACAGATGAAACAGTGAAATCGGTCACACAGGCAAAAAGCTAACATTCTATAACAAGAGTGGAAAGGCAAAGTAAGATTTGTCATTTTAATGCCATTCTTACCAAACTACATTCACTAAAAATGTCAGTGACAGAAGTTCCTATTTTTGTGAGCCATATTAAAGTGTGAACTTCCATTAAATGTATTTGATATATGATTTTTTAAAATGTATGACCTTGGGCCAGTCTCTTTACCTCTCTAGTCCTTAGTTTTCTAATCTGTAAACTGAGACCTGGTCAAGGATCTCAAATCTGTTGAGGCTGGGCTGCTGGACTATATTTCACCCCCTTCCTTTAGTTACCTCCCCCCAGTATATTATATAGTCCTTTGTCCCTTTTTCTCAGAGGAATATGTAAGTAGAACACATCCTTATGAAGAGAAACAAAGGTTTAGACACCAGAAGTACTAATAAGTGAATGCTGCAAACATTAAAACAAACATAAGATTTATATTTGAGACTATCGGTTTAGATGATTTCAAAGATAGAGGCCACTCAATATGCAGCAGAAATCAATCAACTAGTATTTATTAAACATCTGTTATGCACTAACAGAATAACTAAACAGTCCTTGTCTTCAAAGAGAGTATGTATGTTCAGTCAAGGGAGGCAGAAGACTTTGGGGCTTGGAATGAGATGTGAATCCCAGCTCTCTAATTACTAGAATTGTAACCCTGGGCAAGTAATTTCCTCTCTCCAGATCTCTATTTCCTCTTGTGGAATTGGAAGGTGTTGGAAGGAATTAGTTGGTCTCTAAGGCTCCTTCTAACTTTTAACATATGATTTTCTTCCCCTTCAAAATGAATGTCCTATAAGACTGATGCCCACTTGAACCACCTAGATTTTAGATTCATGATAACCAGCCCCTAGTGCTTCCAACTACAGAGCACAGTACATGGGGAACAGATTATAATTAGTTTCATTACAATGTTCTCTTGCACCTCAGGCCTGACTTACCACCAGGCACATTGTTCATTGTAGCTGAGGTCTGTAATTATAGATGATGCAATACTGTGAAGCACACAAAGGACTCAGGAAAAGAGAATATTTACATTTTACAATGGGAATGTCTTCCTACAGATAATAATTCCTACCATATTTTTTTTTTGGTCTCCATTAAATTCTAGGCCTTGTTAGCATTCCAATTTATAAAGTGTGGGGAATTTCTGGCCACTAACAACAGTCAAGAGAGAAAATATATTAACTATTTTATAGTCATAAAATGAACGTACTATCCTAGTAGAGTAAAAAATATGATTAAGATTCATGAAAATGCAATTTCATACAAAAATATTCAGGGACATTTCTACTGTATATATACATACATACATGTACAGATAAAACAGTGAAATAGTCAAAGAGGTAAAAAGCAGACATCCTATAACAAAAGTGGAAAGGCAAGGTAAGATACAGTCACTTTAATGTCATACTTATGAGCTAGATTCATTAACAATATGAGTGACAAAAGCTCCTTTTTTTCTTTTCCTGATTTTTAAGAAATCATTTTATTTTTAGTTTTCAACATTCGCTTGTGTAAGATTTTGAGTTCCAAATTTTCTCCCCATCTCTTCCCTCCCCCCACCCCAAGACTGCATGTAATTTGATACAGGCTTTACATATACATTGATATTAAACCTGTTTTCACATTAGTCACCTTGTAAAGAAGAATTAGAACCTACAGGAGAAACCATTAGAAAGAAGAAACCAAAAAAAAAAAGGGAGAGAGAGAGCAAATAATATTCTTCCATCTGCATTCAGACTCCATGGTTCTTTTTCTGGATGTGCATAGCATTTTCCATCATGAGTCTTTTGGAGCTGTCTTACACAAAGTCTATCAAAGTTACTCATCACACAATGTGGCTGTTACTGTGTACAGTGTTCTCCTGGTTCTGCTCACTTCACTCAGCATCAGTTCATATAAGTAGAAGCTTCTATTTTTATGAGTCACATCAAAGTGTGAACTGCCAAGAAATCCAAGAAATTCCTATTTGATGAACATCAAATCAAAGATAGCTATCAATCACAGAAAAAGAGGGAAAAGAAGGTCTGCTCTAGACTACTGTAATAGTCTGGGGTCAGTTTTCCGGCTTCAAGTCTTTCCCCGCTACAATGCACTCTCCACTTATCAGTCAAACTGATCTTTTGGAAGCATAGGTCTCTGACCAAGATATCCTCTTACTCAATAAATCCAGAGGCTCCCTACCTCCAGGATCAAAGATAAAATCCTCTGTTTGGTTTTAAAGCCCTTTATCACCTGCTCCCCTCTTACCTTTCCAGTCTTCTTATACCTTACTTCTCCCACATACTCTGCAATCCAGTCATGCTGGTCTCCTGGCTGTTCCCCACACAAGACACCGTCTCCTGACTGCATTTTTACTGGCCTCTCCTTCTTCATTTCTGCTCCATGGTTACCCAGGCTTCCTTCAAGTCTTAGCTAAAGTCTCATCTTCTTCAAGGAGCTTTTCTCTTTAACCTTAGTATTTTCTCTTTGAGATTATCTCCAATTAATCTGTATCTTATTTGTAAAGAGTTGACGCCATGTTGTCTTCCTCATTAAATGATGAACATCTGGAGAGCAGGAACTGGTGGTGTTTTTTGTGGTAGTTGTTGTTTTTTGCCTTTCTTTGTCTCCTCAATGCATGGCAGATTGAGAGCATTTACAAGTGTTTGCTTACTGACAGACCTGCTAAAGGGAGGGGAAGAACCCATGCACAGGTTCACAGATTTAGAGTTGGAAGAGAACTTGGATGTTATCCACCACCACTATCCTCCCCTGTTATAAACTGAGGCCCAAGGAGAGTAAGTTATTTGCCCAAAATCACACAGATATTAAGTGGTAGAAATGGGTTTAGAAGCCAAGATTTGTGACTCTACATTCAGCATTCTTTTTTTTTTCTAAATTTTTTTTTTTGGTGAGGCAATCAGAGTTAAGTTACTTGTCCAGGGTCACACAGCTAGTAACTATCAAGTGTCTGAGGCTAGATTTGAACTCAGGTCCTTCTGACTGCTAGGCTGGAGCTCTACCCACTGCACCACCTAGCTGCCCCATCCAGCATTCTTTCCACTGCATCACACTATCTCTCTCACAAGAGAACCTTATTAACAATACATGCTTCATTTGATAGTATGAAACTATTGATAATGATATGCCTGACTGAAAACAAACTTGTGACATGAAAATCTACGCATTACTTTTCTTTAGGCACTCTACATTCTGACAGGCTATCCTACTTTGCTATTACCCTAACTTGGAATTCAATTTCCTGTCTTTGTGACTTTGCTTAGGCTGTCTCCCTCCATGCCTGGGATATAACCTCTCTTTACCTGTCTCCTAGCATCTCTAGGTGATGTGCCATCTCCCAAGGAATACCCTTTTTAATTTCCTTAGTTTTTAAAATAAGGAAAAGTCAATATAAAAGCCCCAACCTATATCTCAATTAACACTTATATACTCTTCTTAGGTGTCAAATTCCCAACAGAACATAATCCCTTTAAGGGAATGGGCTATTTTTTTTTCCTAGCACTTAGCACAGGCCCTTGGAACACATTGGGCACTTAATAAATGTTTGTTGGATTTGATTGGGTCTCAATTTAGCAGGCTAGAATTTCAAAATGTAAGTGATTATTTACCTATATCATATTATAGATATACTGGCTTTTTTTTCTCCCTCTTTCAATATAGAAGTGAGAAAACTTTTGATATATGCTATATGATTTGCATTCTTCTCCATTTGGAATATGTATCTGCTCACAAAAATTCACTTTAAACTTGGACTTCAAGGTTATTTTCATTGCAAAGAACGTGTTTCTAGAGTTGGGTTTCCCTAACTCAGAGGAATCACTCAACTGCTATCATTGGATAAGCATTTATGCTCTTTAACTGGGCACCATCTGATTCCAAATTATTCATCTCAATAAGATGGATGCAGTTATCATTTGTCAGCCTCTCAGAAAAGATTGCCCCGAGGTACAGTGAAGCCACAAAATGAGGTCATCAACCACAGCTAAAAAGAAACTCAACCACAAGGACGAAAATATTTTCAAAATCTTAGGGACCAACTCTTCAAATGTCCTTGAGATTGCTTGTAAACTTTTCCCCTTTATCTTTTCATGCTGAGCTCTAGGGGTAAAGACAACCCTTTAACGTGTACAAATGTGGCAGGATTCCACATAGGTGAAGTCACAGAGATGGGCTAAAAGCATCCACAGATTTCCTGAATCTCAAATTCCGCAGTGAATGGGGGCCCTGAACTCAAACAAGCACTTAAGCAGACGACAAACATTTATTAAAGCCCTAACATAACAACCATCATTTATACAGCACTTCAGGGTTTCTGGCACTCTAAATTGAGACCCAATCAAATTTTATCTCATTTAATCTCGCATCAACCCTGGGTGGGTTGGGGGGTGTAGATACCACCATTACCTCCATTTTACATAAAAGAAAACCGAGGCACAAAAGGTCACACAGCTATTAAGGGTCGGAGGCTGCATTTGAACTCACGTCTTTCTGATTTAAGGTTAATGGTTTCATTTATCCATTTGTATCCCGCACAGGGGATTTAAAAAAAAATCCCTGTCCTCGAGGAGCTTACATTCCATGAATTGTAAGCCACGGGAGCGCCTGGAGAACAAAAAGTTGCTTAGCTGCTGAGTCTGCAAAACTTCTGGGCTTCTTCCCGTGGGGTTTAAAAAACAAAGAGATGATGTAGGTAAAAGTGTTGTGCAAACCTACCAGAGCGAACACCGACAGGCTCACCACCCCACTCCGGGAGAGCGGGAGGCAGGAGGATGCAAATGTTGAGGGGAGCAGGAAGGAAAAGGCGGAGGGGAGCGAAGGAAGAAAAGAGACAAGGACGAAAGCGGGAAGCACGGAACAGTGCCCCGGGAGGAAGCCCCACGAGCAAGGGCATCGGGCCGAGGGAGGGGCTCGGCCCACGAAGGGCGCGCGCTCCCCTCCCCCGCCCAGCCTCGTTCTCACCCCCGCCTGTCAAGAGAGCGCAAGCACAGGAAGTGTTGCCCCTCTCCTATTCCTTTAACGGGCGCCTCGCCCGGGGACGCCCCGGCGTCGGGTTGGCCTAGTGCGCACAGGCGCACGTGAAGTGGGGGGGGAGGGGAAAGACTGAGCCCCACAATTTTCAACGCTCCAACACCTCCCCCTCCCCTCCCCGTGGGCTGACCCGGAAGCGCTCCTACTCTCCTCAGAGGCCCAGCGGAGAAAGTCGCGGGCGCGCGCGCACACGTACATACATACACACACATACACACACATACACACACATACACAAGCTCGGACACGGAACCCTCAACCCCCTCCTCCCCTGGGGAACATCAGGCTTTTACGGAGTCAGCCGCCCGACTTACTTTCGGCCCCTACCGCTGCCCGCCCCCCCCAGAAAAAAAATTTTTAATTAAAAAAAATGGCAGAGTCTACGGAGGAGGTGGCGGTGCTGGTGCAGCGGGTGGTGAAGGACATCAACAACGCCTTCAAGAGGAATCCGCACATGTGAGTCTGGCGCCGGCGGGGGCCCGAGGGGCCGGGGACGGAGTCTCGAGTTTGGGTCCGAGCCCCGACTCGGGGGAGGGGACGGACGGATGGAGGGCTGGCCGGCTGGATGACTGTCACTCCCCTTCTCCCGTGGCCCAGAGTACGGGCCCGAGTCACCCTGCGCTTGGCGCGAGACCCCGGCCTCAGCCCGCCTCCGACCCAAGAGCCGCCGGCGACCGCTATGCGCCTGGCGGGCGAGAAGTCTGCATCGTCCCGCCTCGCGGTCCCTCCTCTCCTTCCCCTTTCCTTCCTCCTCCCCTCCTTTCTTCTCCTCCTCCTCCTCTTCTTCCTTTCTCTTCCTCCTCTTCTTTTTCTCCCTCCTCCCCCGTTCCTCCTCCAGTTAAGGTCCAAGAGGTGAACTCGACCTTTTGGTTCTGCCTTTCTTTTTTGCGAAATGTGAAGGGATTTCTTTATGTTTGTTCTTATCTTTGTTTTCCTCCCCCCCCCCCCGCCCACATCCCAAACAAATTACTTTTTTTCTTTTTTGACCACTTTGTCTTAGGGCTCTCCTGAAACTCGGAGGCCAGGCCAGGACGGATAGATCTAGAGCTGACAGGGACCTCCGACACCATCCAGGCCAGCTCCCTTCTTTGACAAATGGGGGAACTGAAACTGGAAGTGAAGGAACTTGCTCAAGGACGTGTAGGTGTAGTAAGCCTCAGAGATGCCATTTGAACCCCGGTCCTCCAACTCCAGAACCATTGCTCCATCCGGTGCATCTCACTGTCTTCTTACTCTCATTTTACGGATGAAGAAACTGAGGCTCAGAGAGGTTAATTGATCAGCCAGCCCAAGGTCACAGCTACAGGGCCCCTCACACTCAGATTTTCTGACTTCAAGCCCATTTGTTCTTTCTACTGTCTTAGGTTGTTTTACCCAAGAAGGAATTCCCTCTTATCAGTTACAGACCTGCATCTGCCCTGCAGCGGAGTCTTAGTTGCCTAGGGCACTGAGAAGTTGAGTCATTTGTGCAGGGTCTCCCAGCCATTAAATTCTTCTAGAATACAGGTTCTTGGCTTGTGAGGCCTGTTCTCTTTTCATTGTGCTATGCTGTCCCTCTTATGTAGGTATTGCTTCTTTTAAAAAAAAAAACTTTTAAGATTTTCCAAGCTTATAGTGGGCTACAATGAAGAATGGAGAATTTTTTTTAACTGCCCTGCCCCGCTATTTAATGAAGATTCCGGGTGTTTGCCTTTCTGTGTCATTTTACTCTGGTCAAGAGGATTGTAAAACATGTAAGAATGGTTTGGGCACCCCATAAAGAAAGATTTTGAGAGGAGTGGGTAGGTATAGGTGCTGATAATCTCAAGTACCTGCTGAACCTGTTAGGTATAGTATGAGGATTGGCATAAAGCAAATTGAACTTTACTACTGCTGTATCTGTGTCATAATCATCATCTATACCATATGGGACTCTCATTATTTTTATTCCAGCCTCATTACCTACTTAAGTTTGGTACAGCAGAGAAGATTTCCCTTTTTTGGATAAAATGTGGGCTGATCACCTATTTAGATCAAGGTGTAATAGGAATATATCCAGAACAAACTTCACTGTCATGTAGTACACAGTTTTATAGATGAGGAAATCAAGTACCAGGGAGTTGTCCAAGATCAGAGGTAAGATTTGAACCCAGTTCCTCTTCTTCCAAAGGTAGTGCCCTTTCCCTTCCCACTATAACATTCTAACTGTGCTCCAACATTCTAACTGTGCTCCTTTAGTGTCCACACAATATCAGGAGTGAGGAAGTCACTCCAGCATGATGGTTAGGAATAAACCTTAGGAATATAATTTTTAAAAAACGACACAGACCTTGTCTGCTCTCAAGAGCTGTTATAGTGTGTTTAGGGGTTAGGATATTTATACAGATAAATTTAAGGTAGAGAGTGGGGACAAAGGAGGGATCCAGACAAAGTGTTCTCTTTTTCTACTTCTCTCCCCACCACCCCAGCTGTCTTTTGGCTCTTGAAAATTAGTCAGACTGATGTCTAGGAGTAACCATAGCAATTACTGAGTCCTAAAATTGGGAGCTTCATTACACAGAGACATCCTCCGAAATAACTGAAGAAATAACTATACTAATATATATTTGCTTTGAAGAAATAGCAGGAGGTAAAAGCAAGTCAATCATCCAGCTACCTTTACAGGTTGCTCTAAATTCTTTACAAAGCTTGTGAGGTGGACTGAGATGACATCACTTGGCAGGGCAAGTCTGGAATTATTAAAACAGTTACAAATCAGTAGATGTAGTGTACCCCCCCTTGAGGAAAATTTTTATTGTAAAACTTTCTTAATTTGAACCATACTAGTTCAGACTTACTGATAATTTAGAAGTAGCATTAGGAAAATAGAATATTTTAAAATAAATGCTAGCTTGTTTGATGCATTTTTAAGGAGTAACAATTTAGGTCTATTGTGACTTGATTCTTTTAACTAATATTTTATAATTATTAAATTTTCATTTATATTATCTCCTGCACTAAACTTTTGATATAAATTTGGACTTTTCAGTAATTCAAACAGAACTCCTAGATTCTCTTATTTCAAATAAATTCTTTTAAATATATAAATAAATGTAAATAAAAGGTGAATGCTTTCCTTGAAAGCTATGTCTTTGTGATTTTTATTACAAAAAAATTTCCATCCTTTATCTTTTGCTTTTGTTATTTTCCTATACCCAGAAAGGTGTCAGTTTTCATTATTGCAATTCTGCTCCTCCATTAATTGTGCTGTTTATGTTGTTTAAATATTCTTTCTCTGACAAATTGCTTGTTAAATTTTCCATGTCCAGTGGTTCATCAAGACAGGAGACCTAGCCATAAAGAAAGTCGATTATTTCAGAGAAACCCATCCCTTTTATTTGAAAGACAAGTCAAAACTTGACCTGCTGAACCATATTGTCAATGATTGCTAACTAAACAGGAGACAGCTCTGAACAAAATTGAATCAGTTGTTATTCTTACATCAAGGGAATTATCCTTTTTTTATAAATCAACTTCATTGAATCACCTATGTTCAGGACACCATGCTAGGCCAGAATGAGGCAAAGAAATATAAAACATGAGCCTTCCCCTCAGGGAATTTATAATATAGCTTGTTGTTAAGTGGTATCTGATTCTTCATGACCTGTGGAACATAGTACATCAATGTTGTCTGTGGGGTTTTCTTGGCAAGATATCATAGTGGCTTGCCATTTCCTTCTCCAGTGGATTAAGGTAGACAGGTTAAGTGATATGCCCAGGGTCACACAGCCAGGAAATGTCTGAGACAGAATTTGAACTTGGATCTTCCTGACTCCAGGCCCAGCATTCTATCCATTGAAGCACCTGCCTGCCCCTAATCTAGCTAGTGAGATGAGAAAGGCACACTAACAACAGATGTCATGTAAGATAATGTTAGACAAATGACATAAGCAGTAAGTACTCTTTAAGGCAAGCTTCATGGAAGCAATTAGATGAGCTGGTTCTGAAAGAATTGAAATGATTTGGGTAGGTAAAGACTGAGAAAAGGTACCTATATGGGAATGTGTAAGGCATCTCTTAAGAAAGTGCATTGGAAGGAGTTAGAAGATCTTACTCCTGTTCTAGATTCCAGTGCTCTTAGTATAGTGGACAGAAGGTATAGAACTTGAAGGCAAGACCTGGATTAGCATCTTCTTTCTGACAACTTATGGTGTGACCTTAGACAAACCATATACAGTTATCCATTCCACATCACTACTTTACCTATCTCGGTTTCGACATATTGCGGGTTGACATAAGTGGGAATTATTGGGGAGTTTCGTGGAAGCCATAGATGACACAAAAGTTTAGATACTCAGAAATGCATAAAATACATGTGTAGTATTGTTTTATTTTATCTTTTAGCACAATAATAATTCAGACTTCTCTGGTACGAAGAGAGAGCCAAAAATTTTTGCACAGATATTCCAGATTGTGGAGGTGCCATGTCTCTATAACCGCCTCCCCCAGTGTGGAAGGGATAACTCATCATTTTGAACCTCAGTTTCTTCTGTTAAATAAGTCCAATAGTAACTATAGAATATAATAAATAGGGTTATTTTGTGAATTGAATGAGGTAATATAAAGTTTAGAGTGCTATATAAGTTATGGTTATCATTTATGACCTTGGGCAAATCTCTTAATCTCTTTTTGGGCCTAAATTTCATCCGTAAAATGATGGTGTTTACTCTGGGTAATTGCTAAGAATCTTCTCCATGTCAAAAATTATTTTATCTCAACATGCCCAAAATATAACTTTCCCCCAAAAAAACCTTTCCTACTATTGAACTTCTCTATTAGTATTGCAGGTACCACCATCCTCCCAGTCACCCATATTCCTTCTGTGGAACACCCTGTGTTCTTCAATTTCTTACTTGCTCTCACTGCACATATACGATCTGTTGCCAAGTCTTGTTTCTACCTTCGAAGCACATTGTTATATATATAAGTCCACCTTTCTTCACTAAAGTCACCAGGTCCTCTTCAAAAAATAACCAATACAGAGTCAGCAAACATTCATTTATTAAGCACTCTTAGGCCAAAACAGTTTGTGCCTTCAGAGAATTCACGAGGAAGAAGAACCATGCAAACAACTATATACCAGCAAGATATATACAGGATATATTAGAAATAATGACAGAGGAAAGGTACTATCATTAAAGGGGACTGGGAAAAGCTTCTTGGAAGAGAAGGCATTCTAGTTGGCCTAAAGCAGGTCAGGGAGGCCAGGTGGCCGAGATGAGGGAGTGAATTCAAGGCATGGGGGACTGCCAGGGAAAATAACTAGAGCAGGAAATGGAGATCTTGTGTGAGGAAGAGCAAGGAGGCCAGTATCACTGGATCATAGTAAAGTGTGAAGATTAGATAGATAGAAGTGGGTCAAGGTATAAGAGACTTTAAAAGCCAAACAGAGGAATTGGAGTTTATTGAATGGGCGGGGTTGACATGGCCAGACCTAT